GATGTCTGAAACCCAATCTTCACCAAACCTGGAGGATTGTAGAAGAGAGCCAGGGGACGTTTCTCTGATGAGAAATTTCTGTACAATTGTGGTGTCTCTAGGTGCCTGGGGGGGACCTCTTTGTGGGTATATAACTTGGACATCCGAAACCCAAACTTCACCAAACTGGGAGATGTGGTAGAGGAGAGTTATGGGAAGCTTGTCTGCAAATCTGGGGTCTCTAGGTGTGTGGGGGTTGTAAAGTCAAAAAGAAGTTGACAAACCAATTAAGGAGAGAGAAAAAAAATGTAAATTTGCAATTTGTGATTTGTCCCCCTTGATGAATTACAAATCGAAACGAATCACCATTTTTCTTCCCCGATTCGCACCTCTCTCTGACCACTTCAGCATTTTTTAGCACAAGCTCTCTATGGTTTCATTCATTCCCACCCATTCCGGCTCAGAGAGGCCAGGAAATGAACTTTTCCTTTTGCCCAGCAGGCCTCGCCCCTTTTCCTCATACGCCCCACAGTTGTAATGAAGACACGACACTTCAGGGATCCCATTACAGTGTTTATATATACATATATATATCGTATATTTTATTATAATTGAACCAGCTCACTGAAGCTACATCTGAACTCACAATCGAAAGAGTGATGGAGATCGCGAGAAGGAGAGAGAGAGAGAAATACTTTCTATATAGTTCTAGTTTGCTACCCCCCTGAAAAGACAATTGAAGAATGATAGGAAGACTGAATCCCTCCCTTCCTCCCTGGTCTTTGCCTGTTCCACTTTTTGGCCTGCTAGGGTTTTTTCTTAGACAGTTGGACTATGAAACTCCTTTAGGGATCACTCCTTGGAAATGGACGTTCTCCCGATTCCTGTTCCGTCGCCACGGAGCGATGCAACACCGGCATTCGCATGGATGAGAGAAAGTGATTTTGCTGTTCTTCTAAGGCCTTCCCACAACTCCATCAACCGGTAGCAAGGAAGATAAAGGATCTGTTGTGCAATAGTCTTGCACGCTAGGACAGATCCATTTTTTAAAAAAATCCTTTCTCTTTATTTTCAAACAGAATCTGAGGCTTCTTGGCTACACCTGGAGAGGAGATCAAGATTTCCAGCTAACGTCTAAGCTTCCCTTTGGCTCCAGTTGCACTTGATCTTTACCCCTCTGATCTGGAATCCCCTAAAAAAAAAAAAAAAACGGAGCAGGTTTTGTTTCGCTTCGAAGTCCTCCTAAATCCAACTATTTTAAACAGACGTTTCTAATACTGTTAGAATTCATAGCTGCCTCCATTTTGTTGCCCTCGTTGTTGTTATGGGTGGTCAAGTCACCTCCGGTTTAGGTCCTGCCCTCAACAGCCCTGCCCAGGTCTTGCAAACCCAGGATGGTGGCTTCCTGTAGGGTGTCAGTACATCTCGTATTTAGTCTTCCTCTTTTCCCGTGGCCTTCCACCTTTCCCAGCATGATTTGCCTTTTCCAGAAAATCCTGGCTTCTCAGGATGGGCCCAAAGTAGGTTGGTTTTAACACTTCTGCCTCCAGAAAAATTCAGGCTTGATTTGATCTAGGATCCTTTTTAAAAAAAACCTTTCTGGCGGTCCAGGGTATGTATCTGCAGAGCTCTCCTTGAGCACCCCATTTCAAACAAATCATTCCCCCCCCATCAGCTTTCTCCACTATCCAGCTTTCATGCCCACACACGATGATCAGAAATACAAGAGTGTAGAGATGATCTTGGTTTTGATCTCCAAGGACGCATCCTGAGACACTTGAGGATCTTTTCTAGTTCCTTCATAGCTACCCTTCTGAGTCTCCATCTTCTGATTTCTTGGCTGCCGTCTCCGTTTTGGTTGATGACTGAACCGAGGTAAACCAAATCTCTAATGGTTTCAAGTTCTTCATTGTCAATTCGTCATTGTCAAACATTGTCAATGTTTGAGTTGTGTAGTCCTTCTGTGGTCATGATTTTGGTCATGTTCACCAGCAGTCCTGCTTTGTCACGTTCGTTGTTCACTTTCTCCTTGTTGTTGTTTAGACCCGTTAAGTCGTGTCTGACTCTTCATGACCCCACGGACCAGAGCACGCCAGGCCCTCCTGTCTTCCATTGCCTCCCGAAGTTGGGTCAAAGTCACGTTGGTCGCTTCGATGACCCTGTCCAGCCATCTCGTCCTCTGTCGTCCCCTTCTCCTCTTGCCTTCACTCTTTCCCAACATCAGGGTCTTTTCCAGGGAGTCTTCTCTCTTCTCATGAGATGGCCAAAGTACTGGAGCCTCAGCTTCAGGATCGGTCCTTCCAGTGAGCACTCAGGGTTGATTTCTTTCAGAACAGGTAGGTTTGTTCTCCTTGCAGTCCAGGGGACTCTCAAGAGCCTCCTACAGCACCACAATTCAAAAGCATCAATTCTTTGGCGGTCAGCCTTCTTTATGGTCCAGCTCTCGCTTCCATACATCATGAATGGAAAAAACCATAGGTTTGACTACACGGACCTTTGTCGGCAAGGAGATGTCTCTGCTTTTTAAGATGCTGTCAAGGTTTGTCATCGCTTTCCTCCCAAGAAGCAGGCGTCCTTTAATTTCATGGCTGCTGTCACCATCTGCGGTGATCACGGGGCCCACGGCTCCTGCTTCGTTCTCTCCCAGTTTCCAGCTTCCTGCTCTGAGGAAGGACCTCGGAGCTTTGATTCGGATTTCCCAGCACAACCTTGAGAACTAGGAACCCAATCCTAAGAACACAGAGGGTGTCAAACTTTAGCTGCATTTGTACAATGCACGGCACAAGTAATCTTCCGAACAGAGTGGGCTGTCGGTGGCTGGTCTCACCTATCCTGGAGTCTTGGAAGGATGGTAAAAAATTTTAATGGAAAAAAAAACCCAATTCGCCCTCTAGTGGCCAATTTTAAAAAACAAATTAAAAGTGTTTTTTTGGGTTCCGGGAAGCCAACGGCCACTAGAGTCCCCTCAAAACATCGTTAAATGACCACCACATCCATCATAAAGCACAAAGAGACATTTGTTTTTCAATATACAAATTCTACGCGGTGTTGGAGAGATGCATTTGGAACCCTGAGGCCTGCCCAATCCTAAGAACACAGAGGGTGTCAAACTTTAGCTGCATTTGTACAATGCACGGCACAAGTAATCTTCCGAACAGAGTGGGCTGTCGGTGGCTGGTCTCACCTATCCTGGAGTCTTGGAAGGATGTAAAAAATTTTAATGGAAAAAAAAACCCAATTCGCCCTCTAGTGGCCAATTTTAAAAAACAAATTAAAAGTGGTTTTTTTGGGTTCCGGGAAGCCAACGAGCACTAGAGCCCATGTTGCCTCCGCTGGCTTTAGAAATGTCAAGAAGGTTCTGGGTCTCTTGTCATGGCCACAGGTCCAAGCATATCTTGACCCATGACCCATGGCCTGGAAAGTTTGGTCGATGGCCCTAAAACAATACATGAATGGCACGTCTGTCTTCCCTGATGAGGCAGGGGTGGAAAAAAGCAGAGATGGCTGGTGCACCTTCTCTCGGCTGCTTCTGCAAATCTCGTCTTTGATGCCTTGCCAGGGTGCTAGTCCTCATTAGGCATGCTTTCATGGCCAGCAACTTGACATCAGAGAAGAGGACATCAACAGATGTTTGGAGGATTCATGACTAGCATCTACGGGCCATCACCCCCAACTCACTTCGCTCTTTTCTTCTCTGTTTCTCCTCCCACCTCACATTGACCACCACATGGTGCGCATACACCCTAAGTAACAGAATGGCGGTAGGTTGCTCCACTGTGGGTGGGATGTGGTACCTGAACCTTCCTGGGACTATCCAAAGTGGTGGATCCTTTCCTCAAAGTAATTTTGGACCAAAGTTTGGACTGAAACCCACTGACATTGGAGCTACTAGCATCTACGGGCCGTGCAGCACTATTGTCAATGGATGGTGGTTCACTCCATGGTTGCACTGATATGGGACTACAGTACCTAGACCCCACGGCTGAGTGGTTAAAAAAGAGACTGGCATCTCTCTCTCTCTTTCTCTCTCCCCCCCCCCTTGCTGTCTGGAGGCTTTGCTACAGCAGAGGACGAGAACCTGTTTCCCAAGACGTCAACAACCCCATAGTCTATAAAACTGGACTCGTGCAAAACGTGATCTTCTACCTGAACCGACCTGGTGGTACCGGGTCAATAGAAGTTGGCAGCTCCAGTGGGGTGGTGAATACTCCCTGGAGCTTTATAGGAGCTGTTCAGGGTGCTGAAAGCCACCCACCCCCTTTTCCAGCTTCCATAAAGTTTGGATTAAAACCTGGAACGGATGCTCCACTCTCCCACGAACTGACATCAGCCTCCGCTAATGAGGCGGGTGGTGGAGGAATCCACCCTGTTTTCCAAACTAGTCCAGTTCTTTCCGTCGCAAGCGACAGAAAGCCCAAGAAGCCTTTTTTCCACCCAGTCCGGTTCTCTGTCAGCCTCACTTAGGTTTGTCAGATATGAGCCGCTGCTCCTTTTCAAAGTCTTTGCCAGAGAATCGAGTTTTCTTGTCACCGTGAGCTGGAGACGGTTTTGCAGACGGTAAAATCCACCCGAGAGCTATTCATTGGTGTTTTATTGGCGCTCTATCAACTGAGTTGTTTTCCATTTCAAGTACACAGAGACGGACGTTTAAGAGCAGCCAATCATTTAAAAAAAAACATTTTTTTCCATTTCCTCCTTTTCACAGGGTTCCTAACATCATCCTTTTGAGGATTTTTTTCTCCCTCTGAGCCTTCTAAAGCCGCACCCTGGCAATTTTTCCTGACTGCCCTCCCCCTCGCACCCTCCAATAAATAAAGCAGAAACATCCCCAGCTGGTGCCAGAGACGAAATAAATAAATAAATAAATAAATAAATAAATACAACCATTTTTGTTTTAGACTAGAGGGAAAAAAAAGAAATAGAGAAGAAGAACTCACTCCCAAAGATTTAGGATCTTTCTGTGAGCGGCTCGTTTGAAGGATCTCTCTTAGGAAGGGCAAAAGATAGATAGATACTGTAGATAAATAAATAAATAAATAGATAAATTAATAAATTAAGAGGACACCCTAGCCTTTTCTTCCCTCTTGTCCCGAGTTTCTCGATGGGGCTGGATTTTGTTCCTTGGCTCTTGTGCGTCTCACTTCACCTTAGAAGGTTTGTTTGTTTGTTTGTTTTAAATCCTCCCTTTGGAGGCCCTTCCCCACTTTTTTACTAATAAGAAACGAGAAGATCCAGAAGGTGGGTGGGAGAATGGGGTGGGGTGGGGAGAAAAGAAGGGGGGAAAAAAACAAAGAAAGAAAATAATGAAGAAGTCCACCACCCAGTTGCTACTTCACTCAAGCAGCTGGACTTCAAGATCCCAGTGGGGTAAACTCTGGAAGTGGTCCTTGGCCCGTTGGGAGAGACCCAAATATTAAGGATCTCCCCCAGTGCCGTTTCCAAACTCCACCGGATCCTGCATTTTGAACTAGCTGGCTTGTCAGTTTCTCTTTCCGCCACACTGCCTTTTTGGCAGGCCACCCGTCAGTTTCTCCTTCCCCCTCCTTTACAGAAGTCCCGTAGATCCCCAACTAATGGCAAGACAGACTCCGGGGCCCCTCGCCTACAGGACGTCTCCAGTATCTCCAGGGACCTCGAGATGGTGCTCCGGATGAGACGGAGGAGGAGGGCAAAGGCTGGTGCTGGTTGAAGAACTGAATCGGGCTCGCCGGACCAGACGGGTAGAAGAGGACGACGGAGAGAAGGCCAAGCCCCTTCGCGTCTGGAGACCACGACCGAGCCCGTCAAAATCCGGCGCTTTCGGAGCTGCTCCGGCTGTTGTAGCTGGGACTACGGCTCGGGGTGCGAGTCCGGCTCCGGCTGCTGCTGTAGCTGTCATAGCTCCGGCTGCGACTCCGGCTGTAGGAGTAGCTCGTGAGGGAGCTGGAAGAGGAAGGGCTGGGTCGGTAGTAGGGGATCGGACGCTTGCGGGCACTGGGGAGCAAAAGAGGAAAACCCGTCAATACCCTGGCAGTGGGGGGGTGTTTACGGGTCCGAACTGGATTTAAACTGGAGCTTTGCTTTCAGCACTAAAGGAAGCCGTTTGTTTGGGGTGTGCATCGATCCTAGACCATGTTGGGCTAGTTTGTTCCAGCAGGTTTACTAAAAAAAAAACCCAACCAAGCGGAAATCCAGGTCCTGTGGCACCTAACCAATCCATCTCTTAGTCCTTCAGGTGCCCAAATATGTTTTTCCCTCTTTTTTCTTGATTGTGATACTTTCAAAATGGTGCTCTCTGAACTGCAGAACGAGGTTTGTTTGTCGCATGCTTCCCCTTCCCTCTGTTTCTAGCACATAGTGTGGGACTAAAAGGGTTGCAGCTCCTTCTCTTTGGCTGTGATGACAGAGACTTCTGCCAACACTGAGCAGGATTTGTCTTTCCTGCCCTTATTTCTTAAAAGACCTTGGATTTTGTTTTTCTCTTCTTAAATTAGCCCTTCCTCCACCCCCACCCCCCGTTTTCCATTATGTATTTGTGTCCTGTTGGTGATTGGGTCGGTCAATGAGGTCCAGCTCAGTCTGGGATTTTAACAGGTATTGGCAATATAATATTTACCCCATAAGGACTCAAAACTTCCTTAAGAGAAGGGGAGGGAAACAACCCTAGAGGGCAGAATTCCACTCCCAACTCAATATTCTGTTGTTTTTCTGCATTTCCGCAGAATCATACCACACACAGTGATGGGGACTCATTGGACAGATAGTGTATAGCGCTGGCTGTCCAATGACTGTGACGCCAAGAAGCCCTGTGATAAATTAAAACTTTGCATGATCTGCTGGGCATAGATATTTTTCTGACAAAGTGGTCCCTGGTTCATACACCTTTGTGCCAGCAGGATGTTGCTAGTTTTTAAGATGCCCAAAGACCCTTTGCGGTTTTTTAAAAAAAGTGACTAGTAAAAATGAAAAACCTGGAGGATGATATTAGTTATCCTGTCCTGCAGCCCTGTGATAAATTAAAACTTTGCATGATCTGCTGGGCATAGATATTTTTCTGACAAAGTGGTCCCTGGTTCATACACCTTTGTGCCAGCAGGATGTTGCTAGTTTTTAAGATGCCCAAAGACCCTTTGCGGTTTTTTAAAAAAAGTGACTAGTAAAAATGAAAAACCTGGAGGATGATATTAGTTATCCTGTCCTGCTGAGGGCTATCTTTCCTGCCCTTATTTCTTAAAAGACCTCGGATTCTGTTTTTCTCTTCTTAAATCAGCCCTTCCTCCACCCCACCCCCACCCCCGTTTTCCATTTTGTTTTTGTGTCCTTTTGGGGATTTGGGGGGGGGGGGGAAACAACCCTGAAACTTTTAGAGGGCAGAATTCCACTCCCAACTCCATATTCTGTTGTTTTTCTGCATTTCTGCAGAATCATACCACACACAGTGATGGGGACTCAGTGGACAGATTGTGTATAGCACTGGCTGTCCAATGACTGTGACGCCAAGAAGTCCTGTGATAAATTAAAACTTCGCATGATCTGCTGGGCATAGATATTTTTCTGACAAAGTGGGCCCTGGTTCATACACCTTTGTGCCAGCAGGATGTTGTTAGTTTTTAAGATGCCCAAAGACCCTTTGCGTTTTTTTAAAAAAAGTGACTAGTAAAAATTAAAAACCTGGAGGATGATATCAGTTATCCTGTCCTGCTGAGGGCTAAACGTACTGGTGCTTCAAATGCCTTGTAAATATGAAATAAGATATACAGTACAACCCCCTTTATCCCTGAGGGCTAAACGTACTGGTGCTTCAAATACCTTGTAAATATGAAATAACATATACAGTACAACCCCCTTTATCTGTGGGATCAGTATCCACTGACTCCCGTATCCACGGTTTGAAAATATTAAAAACATTCAAAGAAAAATCCCCCAACTTTATATGTTCAATGATAACTGGCCACAAAAGGGAGCCAGAGACCATGTTAGTATAGCATTTGCTATAATCCGTGTTTTTCAGCTTCCGCTTGGAGCTGATCCCCCCACAGATGCAGGGGTCCTGCTGGCATTCAAGGGAACGAATGTTCTGCTCTCTGTTCAAAGGTGCCTTTTTGTTGTCCCTAATGATGAGACTGTGGCTGGCCCAAGATTTCGTGAAGCCTATCCTTTGAACAGGCATGGTTTCCAGGTTGCTCCCCCCCCCCCGCTGCCCCTTTTGTTGTGCCCAAATGGATGGGAGCAGGTTCAAATCCCACCCACCCCAACTCCTTTGTACCCCAAACATCACCCCCCTTCAGTGCTGAAAGGGCTACTCCCTCGCCGGATCATTAGTCCCGGATTAGCCAGTGGAAACAACAGAGTGTGAGAAGGGTTAAAGGCAAGGTTTTAGGCTTCATTCTGACTCGAGAGATTAAAGACTTAAAGCTGCGAGGAGAACGGAGACGAGAGGTTAGCAAGAAGATCAGTTTGACCCTAGATCCCTTTCCAAAAGCCGGACAACGATTCCCATCTGCCAGTCTTGCACTTTGAGGAGCTTCTACAACCCAGGAGCGAGGAACAGTTCCCCATGGGCAATTCTCCGTGGGGGGTGGGGGGATTCTGGGCAACGGAGTCCAAGGAAGACATTTTCCCAAAGATACAGGTCTTGTTTTCGAGGCTGGAAATTTTGCGAACGTCTCTGTTCAGCGTGGAGAAAATGATTATTTGTGAAGGCCTCTGAGTTAGCCCACACATGGCTTCGCAGGGATATGTGTGTGTGTGTGTGTGTGTGTGTTTGTTTGTGTGTGTGTGTGACTATTCTGAGTGAAAAAAATGCTTTGGGGAAACTATTGGACATGATTTCTGAACAATCATCTTCTCCCTCTTTTTTGCCTTGTATTATGTGTGTTTGCTCTTCTCTCTCCCTACAGCAGCTGTTTCAGGCCTGTGTGTGTGTGTGTGTGTTTGTGTGACTATTTTGAGTGTGAAAAAAATGCTTTGAGGGAAACTATTGGATATGATTTCTGAACAATCATCTTCCCCCTCTTTTTTGCCTTGTTTTGTGTGTGTTTGCTCTTCTAGCTCCCTACACCAGCTGTTTCAGGAAATCGATTAAGAACCTTAATTAAATCCTGCCCCATGTTGTGAAGGCAGAGGATTAATGTGTGGGTCTTAAGTTTTCCTGGCAATGTGCTCTAAACCGTCAGCGATTATGTAGCCTTCCTGATGACATCATGGTGAATGCCATGTAATGTCGCCCCAAAGCCAACTCAGAGTGAGAACCAAAGCAAAGAAGACCTTCTTTTTCGCTGGCTACAAGAGCCAACCTATCAGGGTTCAAGTGGCCATCACAACGACACTATTGGCCCTTAGTTACCCATCACATCGGGCCAACTTAGAGTGAGGACCAAAACTAAGAAGTCTTTTCTGCTGGTGATCCAACCAACTGCATATCAGGTAGCCATCATGATGTCACCAGGGGTGACACCACAAAGCCAACTCAGAGTGAGAACCAAAACTAAGATGCTCTTTCAGCTGGTGAGCCAACCAACCGGGTATCCGATAGCCGGTATGAAGGCATCAGGGTGAAAAGGGGTTCCCCCATTCAGAGTGAGAGCCAAATAGTTTCTACTTCAAAGGGAAAAGCTTTTTTAAGTCTTAGTTTGGAAACCTGTTGCTGAAATGCAGGGGCACCATTTTTATCTCTCTGTGTGCACAACAGAGCCCACATTTTCTGTTTTGGAAACACCCCAAACTCTTTCCATTCATCAAACTTGTACTCTCTTCCCCCTCGTGTGAAGCCAAGCCCCATGGAGAGGAGAAGAAGGACACGCCGGGCCAGACTGCTATGGGATTGCCATTCTCATGAGTCTTAACTCTTGGCTGTGCTGGGATAGGATTGCTGGAAGCTGACCCCCCAAGTAACTTCAGCCACTCAGGGTGTTATCTACACCAGTGGTCCCCAACCTTGGGCCTCCAGATGTTCTTGGACTACAACTCCCAGAAGCCCTCACCACCACCTCTGCTGGCCAGGATTTCTGGGAGTTGAAGTCCAAGAACGTCTGGAGGGCCAGGATTGGAGACCACTGGTCTACACTGCAGGGTTGCAACGGTTTGATATCCCCTACAGCTGCGACGCCTCCGTTTTAGGGCCTCCTGGGATTTGTAGTTTGGCCAGGGGACTTTGAATTCTCTGCCAAGGAGTTCTAGTGCCCTCCCTTGAATGACCGCTGAGGATTCGGGGGGTCTCTTCCAAACTATGAATCCTGCATGGAAGCCGGGGGATACAACTGTGCCACAGAGATTCTCCATGTGGCTGGAAGCATCCGGTGCACTTCTGTGCACCCAACATGAATGGTTTCCTTGCTAGATTGATTGCCAAGAACTGAACTCTGCCTTTGGCGATTGTGTAATGTGTCTTCCCCCGTGCCAACGAAACAACAAAAAAGGACAAAAATGAAGTCTTCCATCAGTGGCTGTAACCTGCTGGCATTATTCTCATGTAGAGTCATATACCAGGATCTGGCCAAGATTTCTCCTTATTTCCGCCACTCTCTGCCCGCCAACTTATTATAAAAGAGCAATATAGAACTATGAAAAAAACATTTCTTGTTACGCATGTGGTATGACCCTGGGAAGTAAGGCAGGAGTTAAAATGGAGGTGTAGAGCAGTGGTTCCCCACCTTGGGTCCCCAGATGTTCTTGGATGACGATTCCCCAAAATCTTGGCCAGAATCGTGGTGAAGGCATCTGGGAGTTGTAGTCTCCCAGGGTTGCCCAAGGATGGGACCCACTGACTGTTGAGGATGACTGAGAGGCAGATCATGGACCAGCCCTCGTCTTCTCAGCATCATGAGACACCAGCCAGAGGTTTGCCGCTCCTAAGCCCTACAGACCCATCACCCCAGCCCCCAAGGTATTTGGCGCAGAGTTTTGTTAGTGGGTGAGAAAGAGACAAAACAGGCGAGACAACGCTTAGATCTACAGGGCCTCACAGGATGGCGGGGTTCAAGGAGACACAGCGGAGTCCCGATGACAAGCTGGGTTATCATGGTAACCCAAGCCATGCGGCGCTAGAGGGGGGCGTCACTGGAGGTTGCTCTCCGGGAAGAACCTTGAGACAGGATGGAAAAAGGAAACAGGAGCATCATTAAACGAGGGAGGAGGGGAAGCGGCAGGAGGCAGGGGGAAACCCCGCGAGGCGTGAGCGGAACCGGCAGCTGGACCCCAAACAGACCAGAGCAAAGTGCCACTGGCGGTGCCCTTAGGCTGCAAGACGCTGGACCGGTGTTATCTCTTCGAGGTGGGACCGGTTGGGGATGCAAGGTCTGCTCCCCAGGAGTGAACAGAGAGGAAAAGCTAGAGGTAATCTGTCACTAAAGTTCAGGCGAAAACCCAGAGGCGATGCCAGGCATCGGAGCCACCTGTCTCCACAGGGGTGTGTGTTTGTGTGCATGTGTGAGTGTGTGAAGGCGAGAAAGGGAGTGCAGTCTGAGGGCGTCAACCACTCAAGGTGGGTGGGAGACCAACTCATGGGTGTGCGTGTGTAGAAACCAGCAGAGATTCCTCCTGAGGAATACCCAAATGGGTATTTCCCTTCCAGATTTAGCGAGACAAACCTGAAGATAAATGAGCAGGGCTTTGAGGTTCCATTTAGCGAGACAAACCTGAAGATAAATGAGGTTCCTGGGCCATTTCTGTGGGGGGCCCCTTCAGCTTTGCACTTTCGCTGTTTAGAAAACATAAGAAACCCCTTTCATTAGATCTTCTCCGAACCACTGGAGGCCACAGACCAATCATCCTCCTCTTCTTCTCGAACCCAGTGGACGTGCCAGGGAAAGTGTGTGCAGGTGAGGGGAGACTTTCTCAGATGCCATATATACAGGTAGGAGAGAGACCCAGGGAACGGAGAGAGCAGGAAATGTCGTGATTGTGAAGATTAAGGAAGATCGAAGGGAGTTTTGCTTCAGGGCCGGCCCTAATATTAAGCAGACTGGGAGAACCACCTCAGGATATTGGGGGAAACAGGGCAGTGTCTCCACCATATATTCTGTGTTCTCTGCTAGTCTCTTGGAGGAGAGAGTTGAGTTGCGGGGGGGCCCATAACCTGCCTAGCAAAGTTTGGCATACCACCCTTTTCTGACCCCCATGAGGGCCGGGGGATTCTGGGTGTTGTAGTCTGTCACAAGGGGGGGAAGTCACCTTTGTCCTTCATGTCTAGCACCAAAATGTCTTAAGACATTTTTTTTCTTACTAGATTGGGGGCAAACATAGGCCTGGGAGGTGAACCTACAGAACTTTGAAGAGGACATTTTGAAAGGTGAAACCTTTCTAGGACAAAGTCAGGGCGGGGAGAACCCTGGCTTTCTCATGCAAAGATGCTGAATATGCTCTAAGGGGTGTGTGTGTCTTACCGGTTAGAGTTTTCCCCATACCTGTGTAGTGTGATCAGAAAACAACGATCAGAAACGACTCTTTTTGTACTGCTCATCATCTTTGGAGAGCCTAAAACGTGTATTCAAGGGAAGCCCCATATACTGGGCTTTGCAGTAGTCTATGCTTTCAGAGGCTAAGGCAGGTACAACTTAGTCATAAGCTCTTAAGCCCTGCCTCTGAACCCTGACATTGTGTGGACAGGATCTTGAAGAAAAATATTACTCTTAGCGGCTGGGAACATTTTCTTTAGGTTTAGGGCGGCAACTGAGCCACTAATTTTCTAATATAAAAGACTCTTCCCACTGTTTCCTATGCCAGCAGTTTGCAGCACAGGAAGATTATAAAGTGGGAATCCACCAGTCTTGCATTTTGTTTCTCTTCTTCCACACACATCCTTTTTTCCGTTAATGTCATCCCTTTTTAGACCATGAAAGCTTGCGGGTCACTCATGTACCATATTTTTCCGTGTATAAGACGACCTGATGTATAAGATGAACCCCCACTTTTCTAACCCCAGAGTAGAAAATTTGATCACTGCTTTCCCCCTCCACTTCCTAAGCCCCGCGAAAGCAGGATCAAAGGGCTGCAGAAGTGGAGGGGGAGAGCAGCAATCAAAGGGCTGCAGGATCGCAGCCCTTTGATCCTGCAGCCCTTTCATTGCTGGTTTCCCAAGCACTTTGTAAGCCCCATGGGGCTTAGGAAATGGTGGGGAAAGCAGCTATCAAAGGGATGCAGGATCAAAGGGCTGCAATCCTGTAGCCCTTTGATCCCTTCCCCCTTACTTTCATGTATAAGACGACCCTCAATTTTTAGTCTAAAGATTTTAGATAAAAGTAATGTCTTATACACAGAAAAATATGGTATTTTAAGATGGCTGTCGTTGAATTTGGCAAAAAATCTGCTTTCCAGCCACTGTTGGTTTAAAACGAGGCGTACCTGGAGAGTACACCTTGTTTTTTAAAAAAGATGCATCTCCCTGGAAGGAAGAACATGCTTTTATAAATACGAATATGCTTTAAAGCAAAGCAGGTTCCTTCTTTTGAAATGAAACTGCCAAAATATATATGATGCACTCGCTGCCTTGTTTCCAGAGAAGGGCTTGGCCTCACATGAGCTGCCTGCCCCTGTTTTTTGGGGGGTTGTGTGCAGGCCACTTCAGGCATTTTTGTGTTGTTATTGTGAAGTCAGGAAAGCAAAACAAATCAGAACCAGACAAAATTCTACCTCGTAATTCTCCTGGGCTCCATGAAGCTGGGTGAATCACGTCGCCGCTTGCGGATGGGGGAATAACTTCGGGAGCGACGCCGGGCCCGGGTTGGTTCGGTGTCGCTATGACGTGTTCGTGGCTCATTCTCTTTCTCTCTAAAAAGGGACACAAAAGAAACCAAAACCAGCAGTTGGAACTACAGTGGTACCTTGGTTTACGAATGCCTCGGTGAACATAATTTTCGGTTTACGAATGAAAATCCATTGAAAATAATGCCTCGGTTTACAAATCTTTTTCTGCAATACGAAGCAAGTTTGCATTGCGCCTGGGAGGTTTGCATGCATTCCTGTAGGAAACCGCATTTCAGTTTACGAATTTTTCACATTACGAAACGTCCTGGAGAATGCATTACATTCGTAAACTGAGGTACCACTGTAATGTATTGCAACCAATTTAGGTTGTGAGCAGACCGTGAGAACAGTGTATGCCTGATTGTGCTGGAGAAGGTGGCTTCGTGACAAGTGAGCTTCCTTAAACCAACCCTTCTGTCCTTACAGGAATCACTCCAGTCTGGTCCCTGAGAGAGGTCCAACTTGGTCGTGGATCATGAAGCATATACCTCATAGACTGTGTAACTGCCAAGACATAGCGTGCCCTGGACATAGCGCTTGACGAGTGGTCCAAACCTCGAGCGATGTGCCCATGTGGTCACGCCCTTAGTTATCCATCACATCGGGCATTTTCTGCACAATTTGGAAACTGAGTGTTTGGGATTTTTTGCAACAGGGATGGGAGAGTGCAAGGAAAGGAAGCTGCTTCCAGCAGACAGGATCACCAATGAACAACATAACAAAAGCCACCTTCCTCCTTCCGCTCCCAGATCAGCACTGTGCAGCCTGATGAGCAATCTTAAAGTAAAGAAGGGGTAGGGGCAATGAGAGTATATGGGAGGGAGAAAGGAAATGCAAGAGAAATTTTGTTGTGGTTATCGAATAGGTAAGACAAAGATTTTGAAAAGCTCTCCAAGCTATTTCTTTCCCTCCAAAGCTCAAATGAAGGTAAAGACGAGGATTAAAATCATAGATAGGATTGTTGATCTTCCTTCTGGCAAACGCTTCCTTCTCTGAAGCACTATCCACCCATACCAGGTGAGAACACGGGATCCTATGAAACCTGAAGGTTATGTAGTCCCACCGCAAAATGAATGATGTGGTCACAAGTGCAGTAGTTACGGTTCCTTTGTTTGGGGGGGGGCAAGAAATTACAAGCAATTTGTGATTTCTAACAGATTACTTCTAAATTCTGGTATGAAGCCGGAGGCGACCCATTTAGATTTGCTGAACTGGGGCCAAATTAAATGGGAAGCCACCTCTATATCCCAGGGCTTGTCCTGCACCCTCACCGTTGGCCCGTAACCCTTCGGGACGCTAGAGGTCACCACCCCGTGGCCAACGTTGCCATAAGATATATTTGCCGCCACCCCCTGGAGTCAGAAGGAAGTACTGCAGGTGCCTCACCTGCTGCTCGCGATTTTTTTCTGCGATCCAGACCGTGTCCTGCTGCGGGCCGCTCTCTTCTCCCGGGACCGGGACCGGGATTTGGAAGGGGAGTGGCTGGAGGTCCAGGAGCTGCTGCGCGACAGGGTCTTCCTCCGCTCTGCGTTGTGCTTGGAGTGTTTGGCCGGGGTCGGGGAACAGCTGTGTGGTCTTCCCCGATGATGATGCCTCTCCTTTGCGCTGAAAGGTGGCAAGGATTAGGGTTAGGGCCTCTGGAAACTCAGGACCCAGGAGATGGGGGACGGAGTGCTTGGGAGAGGCCAGAGATGGGAAACATTCCTCGGGGGGAGGGAGGACTACCTTTCTCATCATCCCCAAAGTCCTCCAAAGCAATCTTTCCTTATACAGTGTCCCGCTTCCCCACGGTCGCCTGCTTTTTAGAAACCTCCTAAGCAGGGTATAAATGTAACCCCGCCTCCGTTGTTCATTCCACAGCAATCAGTATTTAGAGGTTGACTGCCCCTGAACCTGGAGGTCCTAGCTTATGGCGGCTGGGAGATTCTAATTGCTGCATTGTAAGATGTCTAATTTAGCAAGCTCCGCAAAAAGGCACCAGCTTGCCTTATAATTTGAGTGGGAGTGGTGGTGGATGGAGAGGATCTTTCAAAGGGAATGATGGAGAGGAAGAATCTCAGTGTTAAGGCAGAAGCCCAGTTGCCCATTGGTCTGGGCCTTAAGGATCTGGGTGAAGATTAGGGTTCCCATTGGGGACAAATTGCTGCCAGACCACCAGAACAGAGCCCATTCGATGAGCCATAGAGTCAAGCTAGACAATACAGCTAACATGTCATTAGAAGTTTTCTTAAGAGGGAAAAAGATGGGTGTTTATCCTAGCTGGAACTTGCCAGTGAAACTGCTTTTTGTTGTTTGACCAGCCGTTAAGGGGTTAACATAAGCTTCCTTGACAAGCCTGAAGGCTCTGGCATGGAGCTTTGAAGGAACGGTGTCTGGTATAAATGTAACCCCGCCTCCGTTGTTCATTCCATAGCAATCAGTATTTAGAGGTTGACTGCCCCTGAACCTGGAGCCATAGAGTCGAGCTAGACAATACAGCTAACATGTCATTAGAAGTTTTCTTAAGAGGGAAAAAGATGGGTGTTTATCCTAGCTGGAACTTGCCAGTGAAACTGCTTTTTGTTGTTTGACCAGCCGTTAAGGGGTTAACATAAGCTTCCTTGACAAGCCTGAAGGCTCTGGCATGGAGCTTTGAAGGAACAGTGTCCCCAGAAGGAAAACTTTCTAATAACAGGGAATACACCTTTCTTGTAATATGTGATTTGACCCACAGAGAGAGACACAAAACCCCAGCTTGTGTCCTTACATTTTCAGGTGTACCCCATGGTTCTTTTCAGCCCCCATCGGTGTGCGGTACGGACGTGAGCAGGCAGAGCCCTCCGAGTCACTGCTGTAGCCCGTCTGGCTGATGGAACGGGGGGACCCCTTGGCTGCTGAAGTCTTGGCCCTGCTGCGCCTCTTGTGCTTCTGTGTCGCCGACGCGGACCTGGCCCGGCCCTTGTGAGCCCGTTTCTCTCCTCCGGAACCCCGTCCGGGCGAAGTGGACCGGCTGGGGCTCTTCGGTCCATGTTTCACCGCCCGGCCATCTTTCAAGTGAGGCGACGGGGCTTCATTCTTGCCGTGCCCCCTGGACGAAGGTGAGGCAGAGCGTATCCTCTGCTGGAAGGGGAGAAAAGGAGGGAGAGACGGAGGGAGGAGAGAAGAAAGAAAGAAAGAGGGAAGGGAGAGGTTTATAAAGCGATACCCCCCACCACGAGGAAAGCTGAAGGTCACACACAAAAAAAAGAGAAACCAAAACAATGCACAATGATTGAATAAAGGCAGGCTACATAGAAACTACTCTGCACCTTTCTTCCCTGGTCAACCTCTCGTCCTTAAACAACGCAGTTCATGCAAGCCCTTTCGCATGCACAACGGAAAAGAAATCAAAAATCAAAATGGAAACAGGGGATGGGAGGGGAGAGTTCAAATGGGGAAGGTGGAGGAGGAGTGGGCAAAAGGAATTATCTCATTAAAAAAAAAAAAGACCGGTGGTGTGCGCTTTTGGAAATCAAAAAGATGTGGAGGAGGAGTGGGCAAAAGGAATTATCGTATTAAAAAAAAAGACCGGTGGTGTACACTTTTGGAAATCAAAAAGATTTGATTCCGAAAGAAACTCGAAAGAAACTTTTAAAAACTCGAAAGAAACAAAGAAAGAAAGAAAGGGGAGGATGCGGAGGGGAGGGGAGGATATGGGCAAACAGAACGTTGTGGGGTTGGAGACAGAATTTGAACTCGGGGTCCTCATATTGGGTTGGGCCGAAATGGATTTCTGTGGGGGCAATTGATTGATGGGGTGGGGGGGTTGTTGGAAGAATAGGTAGGACTTATGAGATGGCAGGGAGGGTGTCAAGTGACAGAGAGGGGACACGGGGAGGGGGGGTTGGGAAAAAGAAAATCTTCAACAGAAATAAAAGGAGACTCCACAAATATGTCATCAGTACTGGAACGGGAAAAGAAAAGAAAAATGAAAAGAAAGGGGGGAACGAAAAGAAAGAAAGAAAAAAGTTTCTGAACTCTTCCTGGGTCTTGAGCTTTTGTGCAGAGTCTCTCCATCAGCGATCTACGCTCTTTCCTTTTTCTTTAAAAAAAATAAAAAATCATTTTATATATTCTTTTGTTAAATTTCCACTTTCTTTTTTTTTTTAAAGTCCCTCCTGGTTAACGTCCACTTACCAAAAAAGTGGCATTTCCTCCTTTAGTAGGTAAGGTATGAAGAGAAGGGAAAAGTTGGGCAATATAAGTGATCATTAGATTGACAAAAATGCAAGAGAGAGAGAAAAGAGAGAGAAAGAGAGAGAGAGAGAGAGAAAGAGAGAGAAAAAAGAGAAATAAAAAAACGAAACCACCCGTATCTCCTAGGAGGGCCTTGCAATCAATGACCGCATGAAGGACGGCAAGTGTGTTGGCTCCTCTCTCTCCGGGAAGACTGAATTATTATTATTATTTTAAAATAAACCTCATTTCTGGGGCTGGGCCTTGGTGTTTCCCCCCCCCTCCATCATCATGCAACAACAAAATCCTGTGAAGCAAGCTCCCCCTCCCCTGAGCAAATTCGGCTATTTTAAAGTTCGGACTAAAATCCGGAAAGGGTTTGGCTGTTCTCCTCGAAATTGGCGTGGCCAGCTCCATCGCCCACAACCTAGTCGAGTCCAGTTTTCTAATGGGCCTCATTCTCTTTAAGGTGCCACCCTGTTTTTTATTCTAATTGCCTTTCCCCCAAGGAATAAAGCTTACAAGCTTGCCTCCCTTTATGGTGTTTTTTTTGGGGGGGGGAATGTGGGGCCACAACGGAGAGCCACTCAGTTGCAGAAATGAAACAGAGTGCCCTCAACCAACTGTACTTTGGCTTAACGTGTTCCGATTTGGCATCAAATGGAACCATTTATCGGATAAAGGGGATTGCTAAGTTTACAAATGCAAACCTAGAATTCTGCAATTCATGGTGTGATTGTAGTCTTGACTCTGCAATACGATTCTACTCAATTAACAATCTGTAAAGCAGGACTCCCATATCCACGGTTTCACTTATCCGTGGTCCGAATATATTAAAACTATCCAAGGAAAAAACCCAGAAACGTGTATTTTCACAACGTAATCACTCCACGGTTTCACTTATCCGTGGTCTGAATATATTAAAACTATCCAATGAAAAAACCCAGAAACGTGTATTTTCACGATGTAATCATCTGATCTGGCCACTAGAGGGAACCAGATACTATGCTATACATAGGATTTGCTCTTATACATGGTTTTCGGTATCTGCGGGGGATTTAGAATGGAATATCTGCAGATACAGGAGTCCTGCTGTATTAAAAAAACACCTATATCTATATCTGTATTTCCTAAGAAAAACATTTTCACAAACACCTCACTTCATTCTATTCGGTCCCCTCTTTCTCCTTATTCTCAGTCTATCTGTAATAATTAAATTTAAATTCAGAAAATTTGGGAAGGTCAGATGGAAGAAACATCCCATGTTCTGCCTCTTCCCCTTTCCTCTTCCAAGAAATGTCTCTAAATTGACGGCAGAGGCTGGCAACTTTCGAAAGGCTGGGAGCCATTTTCCTAGCCTGGAATCTTTGGGGACATTTTTGTCCATCAAATGAAATGGACCGCTCCTGTTTTGTTTTGTTTTCAAAGGGCCAGGCCTTGTGGTTAAAAAGCCGAAGCCCACATCTGGTTGCTTATGTGATTGCTTAAAGCAGTGGTTCCTAACCTTGGGTCCCCAGATGTTCTTCCAGGAGCTGAAACTCCCAGAAGCCTTCAATCACAAGCTTTGCTGGCCTAGATTCATCTGCGTGACTCAAGGTTGGGAACCACTGGCTTAAAGCTTTAGAGATGAGTGATTATGATTCAGGCGCTCCACTACGCTGGTGTAAGGGCAATGAGGCAAGGGCTGAGATGGATTTCACCCACTCACCCAGCCAAGACTATGAAGACTGCTCTGTAAGGCGTTAGCCCTACAGCAGTTTAAAATTATGCCTACTGTGTTTTGTTTGCAAATTGCAGTAGGGCTCGCTCTGAGATCTGCCAGGCTGAGGAAGCCTTTCCGTCTCCATATGGCTTACTTAGCTGGCAGTCGGCTGGAGTAAGGTCATACCTATATGTACTGCATTGTGTTTAAGTGCGAGGACATGGGTTTCAAGTGCGTTTGCACCTGTTTGCTCATAATGTCCTTGATGGGCATTTTTTAAATATTGATTTTTTTATAAAGACGAATGATCTTACAGCTTACATATCTGCCACTTTGGTAAAGAACGAATCTCAATTTCCCCTTTTAAAAAACACAGAGGTCACCTTAAACCAGTGGTTCCCAGCCTTGGGTATCCAGATATTTGTGGACTACAACTCCCGGAAATCTTGGCCAGCACAGCTAGCGGTGAAGGCTTCTGGATTTATTTATTTTTTTTGTCGAAGAGCACCTAGAGATCCAAGTTTGGGAACCACTGGTTTTAGACAACACATTCCTCACTTTTCTTCATCAAGTCTGTTGGTCATAGCATGTGTCTCTCCCCCCCCCCTTAACTGATGTATCTTGCATTCCACGGGCATTTGTTTTCTGATTGGCTGTTGGAGGGCAAACATGGGCTTAATTTGCATGCCATATTGCTGTGGCATATACCCCTTGGGAGACATTGTAAGAAGAAAAACGACTAATACTTCCCTGTTTTGACCCACAGAAACACAGGGACAAAGAAGGGTTTTCTTTGGTTTGCTTAACATGACTTCCAAACAAGTACTCTGGCCTGATTTTCCCCTCAACAAGCCTGAGAAATCAACCAGAAACAAACAGGGCATCTAGAGAGACAAACCAGAGTGTTAGGTTTGAACGCTGCCTTAAACAAACTCTAGATGGAAGCTTTCCAGGTGAACAACCATCACACAGGTCGGAAATAAAATGTGGGTGTCCGGACCTCTGTATTCTGAGTGTCTGAGGTTCATGTCTCTCCCACAAGCAAAGCACACACACACAACCATTTAAAGACCTGTATCTCATGATGGCGTTTTGCTAGCACCTAGCCCATCGAGTGAGAGGTTGCACAGGTCCAGAATTAACACAACGGTGACATCTCTTGTACATGCATTTGGTACTTTGTGATATGCCATCAGGTTGCTTCTCATGTATGGCAACCCTAAGAAGGTTTTCAAGGGATGTAGGAAATTCAAGGAGTGTTGTCCTATGGTCACCTCCGGTGAATTTCCATGGCCAAGCTATGATTTGAACTCAGGTCTCCCATGTCCTAGACCAGTGGTCCCCAACCTTGAGTCACTCGGGTGTTCTTGGACTCCAGCTCCCAGAAATCCTGGCTGGCACAGCCGGTGGTGAAGGATTCTGGGAGTTTTAGTCCAAGAACATCTGGGGAACCAACGTTGGGGGAACCACTGTCCCAAACCGAAACTGTCTACTACCCCACTCTGGGTCACAGTTATATCGGTTTGCTGCTTTCTCCCCTTCGTTGGTGGTGTCCTGCCCTTTTCCAGATACGTTCCACTGATTTTGAACCCGGACAGCTTCTCTTCATCTTTGCTCATACATCTTGTTGCTTCTAACACCCGTGGTGTCACCCCGTAGAAGTCTGGGCTTCGTCGTTTGGTGAAGTCCTTCAGTGTTCTCTGCCCCGGGGGGTGCTCGAGCAATCCCCCCTGAACTACAGCAGAGAGGACTACGCCCCTCCTGAAAGTCCAGGTCCCAAGGACTCCTCAGGATGGACCCACACCAGTGGAAGCGGTACGCAATAACTAGCGTTTTTGTGGGACGCAGACACGAAGGCTGGGAAGAGGGCCTGAGATGGCTCAGCCGTCTTGTCCTTCCACCCACATGCACAAGTCCCGGGGATTTAAGGATGTTATCTCGCTTTTTGAGGGGGCTGCCCTTCCGAGACTGGGGGAAGGAGAAGGGGACAAGAACCCAGGGATGGCTCCCTCCGGGACATATCTGTACACACACAAGTTCTTGGTGGAGCAAACAAGAGCCTTCGGTCTGAAACACAATTTGGGAGAGTGGCTTGCCTTGAAGAGTTCAAGGAAATCAACAGAATTCCGGGAGAAACAGCACTAGCATAAAGATACATGGCGCTCAGAATAAAACCTCTTTAGTATCTTGGACCACAAGATGG